GAGTGAGTACTTTTTCCTTTATTTTTTTTTACTTGGTCGCCCTCGTTTCACTACACATTACCTTTGTTATTTCAAGGGTAGTTGTTTCTGAAAAGGAAAACCCCAACTTTGCGGACACCCTGTATATATATATATCAAACATATATATATATATGTTTGTATCATGTCTTTAAAATATGAATTGACTTGAAAGTTGAATCCTTTTTAAAAAATTAGTAACTACCAAGTTATGTCACTAATAGACATTTTACTTTTATTGTTAAATCGGTAAGTTCAAAACAACAAAAAATACACGGTCGAAAAAGTACTTGAACTCTTGACCTCAAACACAAATCCGGATATCATAGATTATGATATTGACATATTAATCTAAGTATGCCTCTAATGTTTGTTCTGTTTTGGGTATATTGGTTAGTAGGAATCGTCTACCATTAAATAGTTCTTACAAAGCTCGTCTGGAATGCGATATTGACACTAACTTTGGAGAGTTAGGACACCTGTCACAGATGAGACCAATGAATAGATAGATTTATAGATGACTCAACTACAATAGATGAGATGAGTGGATGGATAGGAGGATAGATGACTCAAGTATTATAGATATGGTTTATATTAGTAATCGATTCGTTGGAAATACTGATGTGTTTTTTAAACAAATACTGAGTATTGCAATAACAGTGCCTGGCACCATACAAATTTATAACCACAGGACGTTACTTTGTAACATTCCAATATAAAATTTGTGAAAGATTCCCCACACCCCAGGGTGTCAAGATAGGGTAAAAGATGGGGTTCTTGAACTTCGTGGATATAACGCTGCGCGTTCATGTTACCTCTGATGAAGATTAAAGGTGACCTGGAACCATAAGCTATAGCACCCCCAAACCATAACTCCAACAGTGTGATGAACATGTCTTTCAACAAAAAACTGTGGATTCCTCCTTTCACCACGTCGCCTTCTAACCCTGGCACGACTATCGTGCACGCCTAAACAAAATCGAGACTCGTCACTAAAGACAATACTGTCCCATTCCTGATCCCAGAGTGACCGTTGTCTGCACCACTCAAGGCGATTACGTCGGTGTTCTCGAGTTAAAGGGAGGACCCAGTGTGGCCGGTATGAAAACAAGCCAAACTTCTCATTCGTCGGTAAACACTTCGCATGCCATAGGTCTTCCGTGTTCTGCAAACCATTCATTTGCAATGGACCTGGTAGTGGAGAAACGGTCCCTTAAGGCCAATAATCTTAGGCGGAGATCTTCACGGTCTGTTGTTCTACGGCGGCGTCCAGTGCCCCTTGCTCTTTGCGTACGGCCTTCTCGAAGCCATGCCTGACAACACCTAACCACAGTGTCTACACTTATTTGCACTCTAACTGCAATTGCCCGAAAAGAAAGTCCAGCTTCCCGAAGTCCCACTATACGGCCCCTATCAAGCTCACTAAGTTGACGAAATCGTACAGGTCTCCGTACTCTAGGCATCGTAACCGATCGTAAAGGATGTCAAGAATCAAAATCCGCCACCGTTGATCCTTTACTGCGGCTGAAATATTCATTTTAGAGCGTTAGTGAATTAAAAAAAAAGCAGTATAAAAACCGGAATGTCCAACTGATAAGGCTGAAAATTTTTTTCACTTGTTATTTACAGTAAGATAAATACATTCACCAACTTTTATTAAAATAAAACCATTTAAAACTGGGTGTTCGGATTTATATGTCACTTAGTATATCTTTGGGATCATCATAGCAGCCGCGGTGTTCCGGCATTTAGGCTTTTGCCTGCGCGGCTGCTTCGATATAAAAAAAGGATTTTGAAGCATTACGATTTTTATAATGTAAGATTTCCGAAGGATATTGTGTTTCATGGGAAGTGCGTCAAAATTTTTGATTTTTACGTCCGAAATCTCCACAGACCCGGGTCCTTTCATCAAAGAATCTAGAGTGACAACCATATATGAATAACAAATTTAGTGGCCTTTAAACATAGATATTATTATACATGCAATCAGCTTGACCGACAATCAAAGACCATTGCCCCTTCTATTCGATTACTGGCGAGATTTTCCAATCGAAAATGTCAGATGAAATCTGCGGTGATACACTAACGTTAATGTATGCTTGCTCTCGATATTGCTCGCGGTAACTGTTACGCAGCGTATTGCAAATCGTGTCCTTGAAAGTTTAATAACAAATGTATGTGTAACAGGAATATTGTAAAAACCGCGTTATTTCTACGCGGGGTGAATTTAACGTTCTCCTCGTACAGATTCTTAATGTAATCATATTCGACCGCGATACATACAAAAAACATTTTGCGCAAATTATTATTAATTGGTGTCTGCATTTTTTTGAAATTATCAGTCATTGTTTGCAAGCGTGGCGGTGAGATAACGTTCTCTTTTCGTGAGAAAATCATTGAATTGATGGTTTCATTCCAATTTAATGTTGTGTTTGTGTGTTCTATTTATGTTTGTACAGGGTGTCCCAGAAGTCGACGTCAAGCCGAAACAAGGTGATAGGCAAAGTCATAACAGCTATCAGAAAAATATTTAAAAAAATTTTATGTATGTGTTTTGAAAATTATAGGTCTTTGAAAAAAATATAGGTAAATTTCACACCCTACGGCAGTCTGTCAACTCCTGTTACTACAAATATTAACTTTTTTTGGATTTTATTTTTATAATGTAATGATGAATAATGCATCTTCAAACTGGTGTCTCAACCTTACTGCCGACATTTCTCGTTCAGGAAAAATTCCCACTTATTTCCCAACCAAGTATTCCAAAGTAAAACTTTGCTCAACTTTAACTGGCTGTACTAGAAAAAAATGTACTACGAGAGTTTGGCAAGTAACCTTAAAAGTTGTCGCATTTAATAAGGATTCCAAAATGGTATAACACTTAGAAGATTACTCGTACTTATGCACAATTTTTATTTGAGGACGTGCCACTGAGTATTTACAGGGACATGTGGTTTCAGCATGATGGCTGCCCAACGCACTATGCACTCTCAGTGAGAGAGTATCTCGATCAAAACTTTTGAGGCAGATGGATAAGGCGGTCCGGTACAATACCGTGGCCAGCCCGATCACCAGATTTGAATCCGTTAGATTTTTTTTACTGGGGAACTTCAAAGAAAAAGTGTATTTCAAGCCGATTCAAAATGTAGCTGAGCTACGGCAAAGACTATTGGAAGCAGCTGAGTTTGTTAATAACCGTGGATTCGCTCGTTTAATAACCCGATCTTTTTTAAGAAGATGTCGAGCGTGTATTGCGGCTGAAGGAAAATAGTTTGAGCATTTGCTGTAAAGGTAAATCATCATGAGCAGCATTTTGACGCCCACTGTTGTGCAAACAGTTATCCTTAAGGGTCCTTGTGCGTTTTCATAATCGCTGTTTAATTAGGAAATTTTGAAAAATTTTCATCAGTTTTTCCTCAAATAAAAATTGTGTATAAGTTAACGAGTAATCTTCTAAGTGTTATACCACTTTGGAATCCTTATTAAATGCGCCAACTTTTAAGGTTACTTGCCAAACTCTCGTAGTACATTTTTTCCAGTACAGCCAGTTAAAGTTCAGCAAAGTTTTACTTTGGAATACTTGGTTGGGAAATAAGTGGCAATTTTTCCTGAACGAGAAAAGTTGGCAGTAAGGTTGAGACACCAGTTTGAAGATGCATTATTCATCATTACATTGTAAAAATAAAATCCAAAAAAGTTGATATTTGTAGTAACAGGAGTTGACAGACTGCTGTAGGGTGTGAAATTTCTATATTTTTTCAAAGACCTATAATTTTCAAAACACATACATAAATTTTTTTTTATATTTTTCTGATAGCTGTTATGACTTTGCCTATCACCCAGTTTCGGCTTGACGGCAACTTCTGGAACACCCTGTATAGTTTGTAGCATATTATATGAAACTTAAGGGCGTTGCACTTGATAAAATGCAATGAATCTGACCTGGGATCTTTTGTTCAATTCTAGGCATTATCTTGTAACATTGATCCATGTTGAAATTTTGAGTTTTGTGTCACATGAACTGCGAAAAATTAGATATTTGGGTCTTAAAAGTTTTGGTACAAAATTCATTGGCTTTAATTTTATCCAAAACAAAATAACAAGTTGGCTTTGGAAGCAAAAGTTTGTTTGTCTGAATCTCCCAAAAAGTGGAAGACCACGTGCATTTACTGCACAGACATCAGAGAGATTGGTGAGGAGAGCAAAAATCAGGTTGGAATATCAACAAGGAGACTGGCTCATCAATTAGATAATAATAATAATAATGCGTTTATTGCCCAACAGTGATCACCATTTACAGAGCAAAAGACAGTAGTATAGCTTACATGGTAGTTATAGCACAAAATGTAAAACAGAAAAAAAACAGAAACAAAAGAAACATGAAACACTTGACCAAAATCCATCATAGATGGGCGCGAGATTTATTCTTTAATTCACAGACACTGCAGAGAAAGTCAAAACTAAGTTGTTCATCAGTAATATCAGGTACAGAGTAAACACTCTCAAAAAACTTAACGAAAGCATTACTGATATGTTTAGGATCATTTAACATTTCATTTCCATCAGACATTTGTCCAGGAATCCTAGAAGTATTGATGCATGAACGCCCAAAATGATTTCGGTTCATGTTTTAACTGATTTGAATTTTGTTTAGGTACTGATCATAAGCTTCTTTTATTTTCTGCTTAACAGTTACTCTTAGCCTACTAAAATTTTCATAAACATCAGCATTGCGTGAAAATTTAAATTTCTTATGCCATTCAGCCTTTTCCTTAACTAGAAGAATAATTTGAGCTTTATACCAAACAGGATATCTATGCCTAAATTTTTTATAGAGTGGTACATGTATATCAAGTAATTCATATATCTTACCTCAGATCTTCTAAGAGTACGATATCGTTGGAATTGAGGAGGGGGCATAGGGTTCCCACCCGAACTCAAGTTCTATAAAAACCACATATTGGAATCATCCTGCCACTTACCTAGCTTTCTGGTCCGTTTGGACAAATAACAATCAAGTTCCTTCTTATCCGAATTGACAGTTTCCGTACTGGTCCTAGAGCTAATGAGACTGTCTTCGGTGTTCACGTAGCTAACTTCATCATCGTTAGTGGGCACCCGTAACACTGAAGAGTACATGGTTGGTTAGAGGCGATGACCTGCAAAAAACGATATAAAAGCAAACATTCAATATTAATCAATAAAATAACGTCCAAAATAACAAGGACTTGTATGGTACAAACCGGATGTATAAATATTGTTATTAGAACCTGTCAGGTATTGCGAGTAACATGGGAACAGAGGAAGAGTACCTTGCAATAGCTAGCAATAAAGACGAAACAAAACTAAAGTTGACCATAAACGAATTGAGGTGTTTCACTGTAAGTGCGTAAGAACATTGAAACTGCTGGTACAAGCTTTTGGGTTAATAAATAAAATTATGTCATTGGAAGCAGTTTATTTGACAAAAACCGCTTGGGACCGAATAATCAAAGAAACAGTGCAAAATTGTTTCTGCAAAGCAGGATTTGAGCATGAAAATATGCAGAGCGAAGACCAGTTAAATGAGGCTGATACACCTGACCCAGAAGATGACCTACCACTTATGTATTTTCACATATTCTCAAAATTAAGAGCTAATTGAAATTGACTGATAATAAAAACCTTTATTAATAATAAGCTATTCCGAATTATGGTAGGGCTATTACCCTGACCAAGCAGCTCAAAAATTTTTGTCGAAAATTAGGGAGATACAGAGCATTTGGAGCTTCTTTCTAAATAAGAAATACGATTTCAAGACACCATTTTAAAGAAAACCAGAGGCAACGACAATATATACTAAGTGACATATAAATCCGAACCCATAAGCCATAAGTTAAATTATGAAGGTAAAAAGTATAGCATCTTTATAAACATGGCTTAAGACATTCACGATCACACACCCAATAGCACATCAACACTGTAATCAAGTTCACAAAGCGCACTACTTGGTCTGAGAAGCGATCTCCTCCACGCAATAATCGAACTGCATCGCCGTTCACGCCCGTATCTTTAACAAAGTTTATCCTGGGAACAGGTACCCAGAGAAGGAATGGAATGTATAATGTAAACAGGCGTAAGGGCTGTGGCACTGAGTGACACTAAGCAGCCTTGTGAACCTTCTGGAAAGGTTTTGCGTGCTACAGGGTTGGACTCGCATGAAAAAAATGTGTTTGAGATATTTCGTAAGCTTACATTACGGTGTTTTTATAAGTCTAGACGTGCTTCATGTATACTAAATGACATATAAATCCGAACACCCAGTTTAAATGGTTTTATTTTAATAAAAGTTGGTGAATGTATTTATCTTACTGTAAATAACAAGTGAAAAAATGTTCAGCCTTATCAGTTGGACATTGCGGTTTTTATACTGCTTTTTTTAATTCACTAACGCTCTAAAAATGAATATTTCAGCCGCAGTAAAGAATCAACGTTGGCGGATTTTGGTTCTTGACATCCTTTAGGATCGGTTACGATGCCTAGAGTACGGAGACCTGTGCGATTTCGTCGACTTAGTGAGTTTGATAGGGGCCGTATAGTGGGACTTCGGGAAGCTGACTTTCTTTTCGGGCAACTGCAGTTAGAGTGCAAAGAAGTGTAGACACTGTGGTTAGGTATTGTCAGGCATGGCTTCGAGAAGGCCGTACGCAAAGAGCAAGGGGCACTTAACGCCGCCGTAGAACAACAGACCGTGAAGATCGCCACCTAAGATTATTGGCCTTAAGGGACCGTTTCTCCACTACCAGGTCCATTGCAAATGAATGGTTTGCAGAACACGGAAGACCTATTGGCATGCGAAGTGTTTACCGACGAATGAGAAGTTTTGGCTTGTTTTCATACCGGCCACACTGGGCCTTGAGTGGTGCAGACAACGGTCACTCTGGGGTCAGGAATGGAACAGTATTGTCTTTATTGACGAGTCTCGATTTTGTTTAGGCATGCACGATGGTCGTGCCAGGGTTAGAAGGCGACGTGGTGAAAGGAGGAATCCACAGTTTTTTGTTGAAAGACATGTTCATCACACTGTTGGAGTTATGGTTTGGGGTGCTATAGCTTATGGTTCCAGGTCACCTTTAATCTTCATCAGAGGTAACATGAACGCGCAGCGTTATATCCACGAAGTTCTAGAACCCCATCTTTTACTCTATCTTGACACCCTGGCAGATCCAACTTTCCAACAAGATATGCCCGACCACATGTTGCAAGAGTCACAATAGACTTCTTTCAACATAATGATGTCACATTGTTACCATGGCCACCAAGATCTCCCGACTTATCCCCAATTGAGCACGTGTGGGATATGATGGGTAGGAGATTGCTCAATTTGCAACGTCCTCCTCAGACTCTAGAAGCACTTCGAGAGGAGTTGGTGGTTGCCTGGAATGAGATACCACAGGAGGACATTGACCACCTGATCAGAAGCATGCCTAGGCGCATTGGAGAATGCGTAGCACATCAGGGTGCATCCACACATTATTAAAGGTCAAGGGCTTTAAAGCAGTGCAATCGTTTTGAATTTTTTATCATTTACTTATTATGCTTCATTAAGTACTTATACAAAATTTTATTAAAATAAAACCATTTAAACTGGGTGTTCGGATTTATATGTCACTTAGTATATTCTGGAGCGAATTGCATACGATCCAAACTAAAACCAATCGTAAATCACCGCATCTAAATCATGCAGGTTATCTCAGTGACAGTGCCCTGAAAACACACATTTTAACTCATCGAATATAAAAAATTACATCTGCTTGTGCAATTGCGTTCGATATAGGTATCACAATTTGGAAGGTTCACATCGAAATGTTGCAGAACATTACCTTGAAAGTCAAACACGTTCGATTTCTTGAGTTTCAGATAAAGTGGAAATTATCGACTGATTATAAAAAATACGCATGAATTAATCACCGTTTGCCGTTCACCGTAATATGCTGTTTCTAATAATATTCGTAGCTCTTGGACTTGCAACCGCTGCGTTTTCAGCTTGGGGATATTCATGGTCAAGGTCACCTATCGAAGGAAGAAAGATTTTTAAACTTGGACTGTCGCAAAATATTATGTGTGTTATGCCCTGTTCTGACTTAACAACTTGTTGGCTACATCTTCATTCTTCGTTTTATCTTTAATAAATAAAAAAATAGATAAATATACTAAGTGACATATAAATCCGAACACCCAGTTTAAATGGTTTTATTTTAATAAAATTTTGTATAAGTACTTAATGAAGCATAATAAGTAAATGATAAAAATTTAAAAATGATTGCACTGCTTTAAAGCCCTTTGACCTTTAATAATGTGTGGATGCACCCTGATGTGCTACGCATTCTCCAACGTGCCTAGGCATGCTTCTGATCAGGTGGCCAATGTCCTCCTATGGTATCTCATTCCAGGCAACCACCAACTCCTCTCGAAGTGCTTCTAGAGTCTGAGGAGGACGTTGCAAATTGAGCAATCTCCTACCCATCATATCCCACACGTGCTCAATTGGGGATAAGTCGGGAGATCTTGGTGGCCATGGTAACAATGTGACATCATTATGTTGAAAGAAGTCTATTGTGACTCTTGCAACATGTGGTCGGGCATTATCTTGTTGGAAAGTTGGATCTGCCAAGGTGTCAAGATAGGGTAAAAGATGGGGTTCTAGAACTTCGTGGATATAACGCTGCGCGTTCATGTTACCTCTGATGAAGCTTAAAGGTAACCTGGAACCATAAGCTATAGCACCCCAAACCATAACTCCAACAGTGTGATGAACATGTCTTTCAACAAAAAACTGTGGATTCCTCCTTTCACCACGTCGCCTTCTAACCCTGGCACGACCATCGTGCATGCCTAAACAAAAATCGAGACTCGTCACTAAATACACTCCTGATCCCAGAGTGACCATTGTCTGCACCACTCAAGGCGATTACGTCGGTGTTCTCGAGTTAAGGGAGGAACCCAGTGTGGCCGGTATGAAAACAAGCCAAAACTTCTCATTCGTCGGTAAACCACTTCGCATGCCAATAGGTCTTCCGTGTTCTGCAAACCATTCATTTGCAATGGACCTGGTAGTGGAGAAACGGTCCCTTAAGGCCAATAATCTTAGGCGGCGATCTTCACGGTCTGTTGTTCTACGGCGGCGCGGCGTCCAGTGCCCCTTGCTCTTTGCGTACGGCCTTTTCGAAGCCATGCCTGACAACACCTAACCACAGTGGTCTACACTTCTTTGCACTCTAACTGCAATTGCCCGAAAAGAAAGTCCAGCTTCCCGAAGTCCCACTATACGGCCCCTATCAAACTCACTAAGTTGACGAATCGTACAGGTCTCCGTACCGATCGTAAAGGATGTCAAGAACCAAAATCCGCCAACGTTGATTCTTTACTGCGGCTGAAATATTCATTTTTAGAGCGTTAGTGAATTAAAAAAAGCAATATAAAAACCGGAATGTCCAACTGATAAGGCTGAAAATTTTTTCACTTGTTATTTACAGTAAGATAAATACATTCACCAAACTTTTATTAAAATAAAACCATTTAAACTGGGTGTTCGGATTTATATGTCACTTAGTATATCTTTATTGCCATTTGATTTGAAAAATTATCAGCAAATTGTCAATGATGAATGAGAAAAATGATACCTAAGTTGTGATCGAGACAACACTAGGTAATTTCAATAATATAAACATAATACACTCAAAATAACAACATAAACAAACAAATTAAAAAGATGTGAATAAATAACAAATAAAACAGAAATAGAGGGACGAGCAGATTGAAAAATAGATTAAAAATTAATTGTTTGCGATAATACAATTCACAAGTCTGATGTTAGGTATTCCTCAATGCTGTAAAAAGGGTTTTCCATAGACTTTTAACCCGGCGTTGGAAAGCATTGAAATTGGTGACCGCTTTGATAAGAATTGGCAACCTGTTGAACAATCTAATAGGCATTATGCGGGGATAAAGCAAGGCTATGTTGAGGGGTTCGCAGACAGCATGTATTCCTTAGATTATAACCACTCTCCACATACCTTCGCGACTCATATTTTTCAAAGTTCTTTCGAACATGACAAACACAGTTTAAAATATAAAGTGAATATATCGTCATGATGTGGAGAGTTTTGAATAGTTCCTGACAAGAAGTGAACTTGTTATTAAATGTTATTGT